AGTTATGAATTCATGATAGATAGTATGGCAGAAAAAAACATATAATAACATAGGAACTACAGTATAGTACAGTAGTACACCTTAAAAGCGTCTACAAAAATGTACGCGATGGTATTTGTCTATCTCTTAGCCCTTAGGGATAACACACAATAACAATTGTTTTTGTCCTTTACTTTTTACGAGAAATAATGTCTTATCCACGAAGCGATTTTAATCAATACAGCCAACCAAATCTACCTATATTCTTTGTTGGCCTTGAACCTTCAGAGTTAAATAAAGATGTGTTCAATATAAGCCACATACCCCATTCCAAGGTTGAAATCAAAGAACAATATAAAAATGTGATCTTGTACAATGTTCGAATTGTCAGGAGTACGGCCACACAAAAACCTACAGTGCATATTAACCAAGATGCGTTCGATGTGCCAAACATCACATCAGCTCAGTATGTCAAAAGCTTCGAAATATTCCAGCTCAATGCGCGCTATTCCAGGGCGAACACCCTGCAAACTATAAAGGATGCCAAATCCACAAGCAGCATCAAACTCAAGAACCATCTAACCAACTTCAATTAACAATCGATTCAATACAAAAACCACAGTTAAGGCTTCTTCGGCGGAATTCAACCCCTCGTCCTCACAAAATAGAACATATGCAAATGTAACCTTAAACCAACAACCTCCTAAATCCGACAACAGCAATCATTTAGACACAGGTACCTTATTATCTAAATTTATCAGTGACTTCCAAATTCATAAATCCATTGCTCTCCCTTCTTATAACAGTCCTCGCCAAACTTGCAGCCCAAAATGACAAATAATACCCCACCTCCAAATCATTGCTCATACTCCTTTGGAATGCCAACGGTATTCACAATCATATAGCCGATCTCTAACTTGTACTTCATGATAACGAATAGATATAGTTATAATATCTTAAATACACCTCACTAAAAGAATAAAAATACACATTCTTGATTACACAATACTCAGATCAAACCACCCTGACGGTACCGCACACGGAGAAGCTGCGATAATTATTAGATCTGCAATTCTCTTTCATAACGTTTCTCAACTAAGTGAACCCCACATACAATCTTTCACCATCCACATTACCCTTGACTATTTTTCTATCTTTATCACTGCAGCATACTTTCCTCCCAACCAAATCATTTCTCCAATACTCTTAGAGGAGTAACACTCTTAGAGGAGTTTTTCAGCTCTCTTGGTAATAACTTTATAGTCGGTGGCGACCCCAGTGCCAAACATACCCAATGGGGATGTCATTCAAACTCACCCAGAGGTAACTCTCTCAGACAAGTTATTACTGCCTAAAACTACTTAATCATCTCACCCCAAGACCCCACACATTGGCCAACATCACCTAGAAAGCGACCAGATATCCTTGACATATTCGTCTCTAAAATACCGAACCGATTTAACACCATTATAAATAATCTAACAAACCCTCACTCAGACCATTCACCAGTACTTCTCACCCTCGACACCTCTCCTCCAAAAAGATTAATGAATCCATCATTAATCAATGAAATAATTAACTGGGAAAAATGTCAATCGATACTTCCTAACGACATTAACCTGAACGTTAGTTTAAAACCCCCAAAAGGAACTAGAGGAATCAGTACAACATCTAATTTCAACAAAACAGAATGCAGCCTGGTCCTCTTGCAAACCAAAAATAATTGATAATTACAATCAAAATAATCTCTCTTCACCTGCCTATTTAAGATCTCTTATTGGTCAAAAACGTCGGGCCAGAGCAACCTGGCAGAGAACAAAACATCCCATCGATAAAACTAATAATTATAATAACTTATGCAGTTATGCACATTACTTTAAAAAACAAATGGCCAAACGACGGTCAGAAGATTTCGCCAAACAAACTGCCCTCCTATCCGGAAAATATAGCTCTCTGAGGAAAACCACCAGAAAAATCTTAAAAATCAAAGCAATGTAATTTCCAATTATAAAACCTGACGGCAGTTTCGCTATAAGCGACAAAGAGGAAGCTGAAGCACACAGACAATGCCCCACCATTCCTACCATAGAAAACGAAATACTCAATTTTCTAGATAGCCCACCCCCAATGACATTACCGCCCAAACCATTCACTCCTAATTTGGTAAAATCATTCATAAAAAAGTTTCATTAGGTAAATCAACTGGACATAATTTGATAACTGCTGAAATAGCACGCAGACATCCCATTAAAGCTATATAAACATATCAGTATATCACCCATATCTTTAACGCTAAACTATGAATTTCATACTTCCCGATTCAAAGGAAACTTGCCACAATTATTCTCTTCCCTAAACCAAACAAAAATATAACCCTTCCTCACACAGACCGATTAGTTTACTACCTTTTTTGCAAGACTCTTAGAAAAAATAATGCTAAACAGAATGTACCCAATCATCAAGGAAAAGAAACTAATTCCTGATACACGATTTGGATTTAAAGAACATCACTCAACCATCTACCAAATACATCGACTAGCCACAGACCGATACCATTGCTTGTTCTCTGGAAAAGAGACTTTTGCAGTATTGTTCGATGTTGTACAGGCCTTTGACAAGGTCTGGCACCCCAGACTTCTTTTCAAACTAAAATCATTCGTACCTCCTTTATATTACCTTTTTTTTTAAAATCATACCTTAATTAACGCCACGTCCTTGTCAGGCCAGGAACTGAACACTATAATATATCCCCAATACTCGCAGGCGTACCTCAAGGTGCAGTCCTGTCACCAACTCTTTTTAATCTATACTCAGCAGACCAACCCACCAATCCGAATACTCAAATATGAGTTTCTGAATATGCCGACGACTAAAGAATACGCCACCCACGCCGATCCTGACTTAGTCTCATCTACTCTTCAAAGCCACCTGAATGACCTATCATACTAGTACTCCCTCTGGCGGGTCAAAGTTAATGAAAACAAATCTATGCACACCACATTTGCTCTCCATCACAGACAAGTAGACAATCTACTCCGGTGCATACAAACAACAAATCAGTACCATACTCCGACACAACCAAGTTAGGACCTAGATCTAACATTCAACAAATGTATAACATGGGCTAAACACATAAATACAACAAAAATTAAAACTAAACAGACGACTCAACTCTCTCAGACCTATTCTCAGTAAATTCTCAAAACTTTCCCTCAAAACGAAAATTCATATCCATAATTTTCTTCTTAAGCCTAAATAGGCTCTACGGTATTCAACTCTGGGGCACAGCGAAAATATCAAATATACAAAAAATACAAGTTTTCCAATGAGAAATCCTCCAACTCATAACCAATGCTCCTCTGTATATTTCAAACCACACTCACCATACAGATCTTCACATTCCTAGTCACTGATACAGGAAAGCTGCATTACAAAAAAATTAGGAATCGCCTTCAAAATCACACCAATCCTCATATTAAAAAGCTACTATCCATCACCTTCCCAGGAAATACTCCCAGGAGACTTAAAATAACAATGGCCCCGGAACCTTAGAAGATAAACATAATATGAATACTTAAATACCCAAATAATGTTAACTCAAGCCAAAGTAACTTCACTGGACGGTTTCTTCTCTCAAGACACTCAAGCCATTGCACTCAATTTAAACATACATTATGCTTATTGAAATTTTCCATTTTGTCTTTTAGTGTTATTCGTAGATACATGACATTTGTATTAAATGTTTATATTAGTAATATCAGCAATATTTCTATGCATCATACAATTCCCAATATATTGCAACTTTTTTTTTGGCTACTTATTAATTATTTTACGCATAAGAACATTTCGATTTTTATTAGTTTTTTTTTCAATAATTGTTGATGAAAAATGTTTATCAAAAAACTTGAAAATGTAATTATAATGTTTCTCATAAGTTGTTGTTCTTGGAAATTAAAAATAAAATTGAGGGTAAAATCACAAAAAAAAATATATGAGTCTGAGATTAAAATGTTGATAAAAAAAAAAAAAAGTTTAATTAAAATCAAATTAATTTTTAAAAGCTATTGAAGTTAGAAATGTAAAAGTTATTAGATATTTACCTGCAAATTAATAAAATCTCATACAATTTTCTTATTTTGTTGTTATTCATAAACTATTAACTGTTGGTACTCAAAGTATTCATCAAATGTTTATTTCATCATTTGCTATACATTATAATATTATACTATCTTGTTTAAATCAATGGGTGGAAATCTTGAAGGAGAAGCGCCTCCAGATATCCCATTAGCTACTCCCTCCCAAAAATAAACACAAACGACTTTTAAGTTGTATATGAAATCAAAGCTCCTGTTTATGTTGTTGTTAATAATATTAGCCACCCCCTTCCTCCCTGAAATTTTAATGGACTCATAACTATTATAATATATATTGAAAAGAGGTTTATAACTTTTCCCTGCTAACCGGAAAAATGACTAAATTAAAGTTATTTCATGTTATTAAGAAATTAGGTAAAAAGATAATAATAATAATGTTTTTGCCTATAGTCGCCAAGTATAAAACAAATAATAAAATACTTTTAAAATAAATGTAATAAAAAAATTAAGTTGGGTTAGCCTTTTTTATAGTACCAAATTACTTATTATGATTCAAGTATAGTAATTTGTATATTAATTTGTCATATAATAAAGCTATTCCATATAAAATTAAAATTGAGTAATATCTATTATATTAGAGCTTAAAGGTAAAGGCTAAAGTATATAGTTGAGGTTTATGTAATAAAATATACTCAACTAATGTTGACAAAAAGCAATTTGAATTAGTGCGGTTATTTAAATCCAAATGATGCATTTGCAGACATTGACCAATAGCTACTAAACTTCGCACACATATTATTTGGGATTCTGGAAGCCAAACCGGTCATACGAGTAGTAGAATAGAAGCCACAGATAACCGCAGTCATTTATAGTCTTGAATATATTAATAATTATATTTTTTATTTAATTTATATGATACACATTATTTTATTTTTAAACAAACTAAAAAGTGTAATTAATTTTATTATTATTCTGAGATGTGTCATCTAAATGATAAATTAAATACGTGATAGAATTTCCATCATCTTTGGCTAACACCATTTTTTTGTTAGTAATTGAACTAACTCTACTCCGTGAAACCATTATTTGCTTGTCCAAATCTCTACAGTTAACTATATATTTAGCATGATAAGCCAAAGGATCACCTAAAATCAAATTGAATTAAAATATTTAAAAAAGTATTTTAGTTTACTTAACTAACCTTCATAGACCAAAAAATCACCTCCAAACTTCATACCACAAGTTAAATAGAATCCTTTTGACCACAGATCCTTAAAAACTTTAAACCTGATTCTTTCCAAACTATTCATAAATTTAGGTAATGGAACTTCAATTATGTTTGAACATATTTCATCTGTAAAAAAATAAGTTATTATAATACTGGAGGACAATTAAAAGATAAACAATACTTTTAGAATAATCTAACCAAGATGTATCATAACATTAGGTGATGTATCAAATTGATTGATTTTGGGTATTTCTTTAGTATGTAAAGAAGCAAATGATGGATACTCAACAGTACGGCCTAAACAATTTTCAACTAGTAATCGAATTTCTTCGGGTAATAAAAGGCAAGGAAGGCCATTTTGATCTTCTTGTCGTGGCATGGATGGCAAAGTTCCAATCAAACTCCCCAACATGCGATGAGTTGTTCGTAAAATGTACCAATCTATAAAATAAATATATAAACTGAATAACTAGGGTCAGGATTTATATGTACTTACTGTAAGCTTAAAATAACATGCATTTATGCATAAAAACCCCTTAAAATTTGAACTTAATATTATTTATTTATAATTATACAAGCAGAATCCCAATGAAACAAGAGTATGTGCATATATTACTGTAAACAATTTAACTTATGAGCTGATTTCTTACAATTTAAAATAACAATCAATGCGGAAACAATAAATCAGGGAACTTGGGAGTTGGCGAGTTGCACATGAGGTGTAAAGAAGACTATGATAGATAGCTATGGGAAAAATAAATACAGAATAGAAAATGCATTCTCAACGATGGGAGGGTGGAAACTCTGAAAGGATTTTGGGAAAACAGTTTAGGGAAATCAATTTTATTATCAAAAAATGTTGTTAAAAAATTCAACCCAAGTAGCTTTATTATTGTATATATTTAAATGGAACCTTCGTCAATTGCTATCTGACCATTTACCACTTGTCGATTTAAAGATTACATACAATTTTTGATATAATGTGTATAACAAACAATAATTACAAGGAAATAATTCAACTCCCTATCACCAACTGACCCACTCATTAGAATAGATATTGCACTAAGTCATATAGTATATAATCTACTAAATTATGTACAATATTAAATGCTTAAATACCTATATAAATTAAACATTCTTACCATTTGCATTCCAAATAAACCCTTTATTATTAATCATGTGTATATCAATCATGTTATTGCTCATTTTGCTTTCTATGGCTCTCTATAGTTTGGAATGTACAAATTAATAACTATCCACATAGCTTAAATATATTTAATCAATTCATAAATAAATTAAAGTAATTAAATCTGATAATTATTTATTAATAATATTTATTTTCTTGATTTAAAAAAAAGTATAATTAATATTGTTTTGACACAAACATTAAAACTTGGTAAATTAACAATAAGTAATAACCTACCACCTTTGTCTATTAATTATTTGTATGCATTTAAATTTTAAATAGTAATTAATGAAAGATAAATTATGATTTAAATTTAAATTTAAAAATAAGAACTGCTAAAAGCAACAAGTATCTAAATACCTATAGGCTATAGCTGTGATGGGAAAAATTTTATTAACATTTGACAGAAATAGAACAACAATTTTAAATAATAATTATTATAAGTTTAAACCCATTTAGACTATTGAAATAACAAATCACATATTTATATATTATTGTAATTCTCATAATTTGTATACATGAACTCTACGAATTAACATATTATAAAAATAAACGAATTTAACTATTTAAGTTTATAATTCTATCTTCTCACAATATAACCTGTTATCTACTATCGTGTAGACTAAGTGCTATTTAATCTATTCTGTGCTTTGATAATGAGATACCGATCTAAAGTTAGATAATGTGTATTATCAAATATTAATGATAAGTAAGGGAATAAATATTATTAAATAAAATAAACAGAATGATACCCATGACAAATTATTACTATTATTATTTGGTCATGTCTAATAAATAATAATATTGGAATTACACGTAACTATTGTTTGCGCGTTATTAAATATTACTGTGTAATTGCATTGTACCAAGATATAAGTGAAATAATTAATAACGAGTGAAAAATATACCTATTTGATTATAAAAACATGGAACCTCAATACAATAGTAAAAGTACAGGTGAGTAAGTCATTTATTTTATGTAGCAAATCATACTTACTAAATAAAGAATATCGAATGTTTATACCCTCATATTATTATTTTCATAAAATTATTATTCCCTAAAAAATATTCTCCCAATCGAACAAATATAAGTACAATATTTAATTGTTTATTGTAAGAAGATAACATATATTTTATTAAAAGTTATTTTGAATATTATTTGACAATATATTCATACAGGACACAGGTAATTTAAATTTCTTTTTTATTTTGAGAAAACTTCTGAATAAAACTATGTTATACCTATTTCATGTCAAAAATATTCTTTTGATTATGAAAATTGCATGACCACACCTTAATACATTACCAGCAATTTTGATTTCTGATTATGCCAATATTATGCGGACTAGCATTCTTGTCATGTTAATTTAATGGATAACATTTTACATTAAGAAGAAGCCACACCCTCAATTTAATTTTGAGCTAGCTAAGAGTAATTTAATATTGTCATAATTTAGTCGCAGAAATCGCATGGATCAAAGTTTGTTAGAAATTGGAATACGGGCATGCTCAAAAAAGGGACAACCCTGTTTTAAACAAGTTGTATGTTCACCCTCCAAATTGTGCTAATAGACAAGTAGGCAACACATTTACTTATGCCCCTCCTTAAGATTTGCAAGTCCAATTGTTTTATTCAATTAAAACATTTTTAATATACCATATTATAGTCTTTTCTTTTTGTGCAGTTTTCAATTTTTTTTACACCATTCCTTTTTCAAAAAGTAATAATTTGTTTAGCCTTGTCTAATTTGATGTCACTTGTCATAATATTTTACTTTCTATACCTAATCTGCAGTAGTGTTAGGCATGTACGAAGATGATCACCACATTTGCAATTTGATCATCTTAATAATATGTTTTTTTTTATATTTAACATAGAGTTACTCTATTAAATATACAATTGTAGTAATTGTCGTAAAAGATATTTATATGTTAACATTTATTAATACTTGAAATAACAATAATAATTTTTATTACAGCTGTAAAGCGCTTAATGAGAGAAGCAAAAGAGTTGTCAGAGCCAACAGATGAATACAGCGCTCACCCATTAGAAGATAATTTATTTGAATGGCACTTTACTATGCGTGGTCCACAGGCATCAGAGTTTGATGGTGGTATTTATCATGGTCGTATATTATTACCAACCGAATATCCAATGAAGCCACCAAACATAATACTATTAACTGTACGTAATAACTAGTGTAATTTAACCGTAGTTCTACATAATATTATTAATTGTCTAGCCAAATGGTCGATGGGAAACAAACAAAAAAATATGCTTAAGTATTTCCAGTCATCACCCAGAAACCTGGCAACCGTCATGGTCGATTAGAACAGCTCTATTAGCATTGATTGCGTTTATGCCAACTAATGGCCGAGGTTCCTTGGGAGCTCTTGAATACACACCTGAAGAAAGACTTAGTTTGGCTAAAAAGTAACTCATTGTATTTAAAAGAAAACTGATTTAAATAATATTTATGAACATTGAAAATGTCTTTAATTAGGTCTCGGAACTGGATTTGTGACTGTTGTGGTCAAATATCTAATTTATTAGCTAATAATAAAGCAAAACCATTGACAAAAGAAGAAAGTGAACTCATAAATAGTGTAACATTTAAGGTAATTAAAAAAGGTTTTTGTATGGTAAATCACAATATATCTTGATTCAATTGTTTTTTTTTTATATTTTTGTAAAAATATGTATTTTATTAGGTTTGTATTGTAACAACTCAAATTTGACTTGTATCAATTGCAATGTTTCTATCTTTTGATAAAAAATTTACACTTGTTTACAATTTGTTAAGTATATTATTTCTGTTTATCACCAGGGAGAAGAAGCTGAAAAAGTCTCCAAACCGTCTGACCAACAAAAACAGGAAGTAGAAGCAATCAATGAAGAACCAGTAGTTAATAATATTTCCCCCAACTTTTTTAGAGACGCATTATGCTCAGATATTGGAATGTACCTTATATATTTAATTATTGCACTCATTAGTATATTAGTAGCACGACGTTTCTATAGTGCTTAATTTTATTGTCTTAATTATTTATTTTACTACAATTATTATTACCAACTATGAAATTATTCAAACAGAACATTTTACCAAAAATATACAACTATCCAATTATTGATTAGTTAAAAAATATATTATGGACATCACTCTGCACAGTAGATATTATGATAATATAGTTCTTGTTAGATTACATCCATACGAAACACTGAAAATGTTTATTAATAAATATCTAAGATTTAACTTGACTATTATTGTCCTTTTTCATCATTTTCTTCCAACTTCTTTTCAAATTTTTCGAATTCGACTTTCGTCCGTATTTCAATTTCATCTTCAACTTGTTCGACAGCTATCACCTTCAACACAATAATTATTCTTATTTCTCTAAGTATAAAGTGTTATAAATTGTTAGAATGCAAACAGTGGAGAACTGACCTCGTCCGGTAATATTTCGATAATTATGTTAATATTGTCTATACTTTACTATAATCATAATGAATGATGGAACATTTATATGTTGTAGAAAAAAATGTATATCATAATTTTCAATATATAATAATATTATTACTACTATATCATTAGAGCCCAGAATTGTATGTATTTAAAAATTGTTAAATATTATGCAAATATTTACACAATAAGTGGCTAAATATTAAACTTAAAAAAATTAAACACAATTTTTAGAACAAGTTGTAATAAAAAAAAAACTAATAAACCATAACTAAACTTTTTATTGGAAACAAATACTCAAATAAATTAAGTTGCAACTAACATTTAATAACTTTAAATATTTTATTCAGTACTATAAAAAATTCAAAGAGAAAACAACTTTAAATATAATAAAAATATGAAAATGTAATATTTTATAAATTACTACATTAAAAAAAACTAAAATCTACTATTTACGTTGTATATTATTTTAAATGTCATGACTTGAATTCTCAGGAAACATAATAAATTGGCGATCAAAATTAAAAAACCCACTGTGATCCATGCTTTAACATGACCTAACCATTGTGTCAAATATAACAATATTTTAACAAAATTCTTCTGAGAAGCAGTGTCAACAACTTTTTTTCTACAATAAAATGGATTTATCATTAAATATGCAGGTTGCGTGCACATGAACTGTATGCAATAATCCTCCGAATAGGCAAAATCAAATTTGGTGTGATATGAAACATAGACATTTCAAACACCCGTCGATGTGCATACACTATGTATAAACATGCAAATGCATATAATTCCAGGGTCTTTATGCTATACTTAATATATAGCTACTACTGTATATCAGCTTACTGTAAGAAGTACTAATTCCTGTAGGTGCAATACAATGCCAGTTTTGTCATTAATTAGTAAGAGGTTTTAAGACATTTTGTAACAAAATAAATAATAAAATTAACCAACTTCATTAATAGAAGCAGGGAAACAAATATTAACTGCATTTGGGTTAAAGCATTTTGTTTTCTAGACAGAAAGCTACGGAAGTGTACAATATTAAAATAACTTCAAAAATGAAATTTGAATAATTGAACACGAATACTTAAAATTCTTAGCAGAACTAGTAGAATGATGAATAAATTGATTTTTAAATTGTATTTTTTTTTCGTAAAGATACTTTTTATATTAGAAAATCTGCTTTGATGTTCAATTTAAAGGGTGGTTTCTGGCAGCAAGTTGGAATTGATTAGTGCTTTGAAAGACCAAAGCCATAATTTCTCTGGAAATTTACATTTTAGATAAAATTAATTTAAATTAAATAATCATGGATATTAAAAAAATGTAGTTCTAAAAATATTTTATATTAGAATTTTCAAACTATTGAAGATTTCTTTTAAGTCATACTTTTTACTTTTTCAATCTTTTTTTGATAATTATATTTAACACTCTTGTGCTGGGTCAAAATATATAGTCAATATTTTAAGTTACAATTTTTACAATGTTTGATACTTGAACAGTAAATATTGATTTCAATTATTTTTTGGAGATTATTGGATTATCTTTGGAGAGTTGAAAGTTGAAAATTGAAACTTTTTACCATTGCATATTATGTAGTTATTTACTGTACACAATAAGATGTTTAGTTAAATTTTAAGCTATTAATACTGGTTGGTATGTCAGTACTAACTAACAAGTTAATAACTTCTACAAGTAATTTAATATGTAAATAGTATTAAATAATATAAATAAAGGTTAAACCTTAATATAGGTTTAAACATGAAAATCATAATAAATGATTTATTTATTTACCTCAGGTATATAAAATTGAAGCATGTTTTGAACTCCACCTTTTAGAGTAACTACTGAACTTGGACAACTAGTACAAGATCCTTGTAATTTCAACTTGACAATTCCTGCATCATATCCCTAATTACATACCAATAAATTAATATAAATTTACAACTGTTTATATAGATACTATATTACTATGTTTATATAATTATATATAAAATATTGATCATATACAATAATTACAAAATAACATATGGGCTAATGATGGCTACTAATGTATTTAGATGAGGAGATACCAAGAAAACTCTTGTATGACCATTTGTTAAGTGTGTTACAATGTGATTTTTAAATGATAAAAAAGTGCATTACACTTTTTCAAAATATCGTATATTTTTAAATTTTTATTTCAAATAGGTAAATTATGTTGATAACATTTTTTAGAGCATATTTTAAGAGCATATGCATTTTGAGATTTAAATTGCTTAGTTATAATAACTAAAAGAATATTTCCTAACCTTCGATTTTAATACTTTATGAGAAAATTAATATTTTTCTTTAAAGAACTTAAAATAAATAATAAGATTAAATAGCAAACTTGTCATATTTAATTTTTATCAATATGCATAATTTGTTAGTAGCCAATTTTCAAATAATTAGTAATCTTAATAAAGAAAAATTTTACTATAAAAAGAATATCACCACCATCTTCTTGTACAGTTGGTCTAATTCTGCTATCCAGAAGTTCTTTAATCATCATTACAGTTTCATTATCATTTTCATGAATTTCTTAAACAAACAGTTGTACAAAATTAATAATCATATTAATAAAATTAATTTAAAATTTAAATCATAAATTCACTTACGAGTATCACTTGTTGGTTTTGCATCAGTTAATATAGGTAAACCACTAGCAAAAAAATCCATAATGGTAGCATATATTTCAGGTTTAAGAACCATCCATTCTATATCATCATCTGCTTTTGTTAAAGTAATATAATCTGAACCAAAAAAGACACTTTTTACCCCTTCAACACGAAACAAAACCTTAGCTAAAGGACTGCAGTATGCTGCTGTAGCATTAGGAAAATCCATTGTATGACCTTTTTCTAACACCTATATTTATAAAAACATTTTTATTTCATACCTAATAACAGATTATTTTGGTAGCATATATTATGTTCATAACTTACCTGAACACCGGGTAAAAACTTAACGCTATTTGGATTAGGAGTATCTTGAGTTTGTATAAACATAGAACGAGTTGGTATAAAAAAGGGTCGATGTTTCACTTTAGGAAACAATTTGGAACTAGTTGCAATTGGTTTTTGGGCTCTAAAAGTAAAATATATCATTATAAGACAAAAAAAATTAAATAGAAAGAGTTTAAATCCAAAATCCTATAGTAATTACGATTTTAATAGGTACAGTAGTCTCGCTAATCCAGACTTGGCTCAACAAGACATTCAATTAATTATTTATATTAGATTAGATGATTATATGATTATATGTACAGTTTTTTAGCTATATAATATTTTTTAAATCCTAAATCAATTAATAGGTTAAAAATTAGGAAAACAAAATAATATCAAGACTAAAAAGTAATATTCATGAATAAAATGTTATTTATAAGCAGTGACGTAGCCAGGGGAGGTTAAACACCTAATCTACCCCCCCCCCCTTCCCATTTCATAAACCAGGCTATTCCACTGTCTATAAGTATAATTCTATAATTCAGAAATGTTTCACTGTCCAATCAGTCAGATATCCCTATTTTCCTTAGAATAATGAAAAAGTTCCAATATTTTAATGTTTTGTAAGAAAAACAATAAATTAAGTGAAGTGGACAACAAAGATAAAATATTGAAAAATCAATAAATACATTTTATGCTATACAAGGTATATTGTTTAGATAAAATTGGTAGGCAATATTTCATAAAATATCTTTAAATATATTTAATAGCAAAAAGAATGTTGTAAAATAACTAAAACAGAACATAGCTCCTTACTAAACATGTCCTGCATTTTTTTTTTTTGAAATCAAATTATTCTATTAATAATGTTATTTAAATACTAATGAATAATTGGTTAGATAACATTATACACTACATAACTCAGAATTAGTTTATAACAAAAAATAATCCTGATGCTTTTAAAATATAATTTTATTGCTGAGAATGTGTGTAAATAAATAATCAAAAAATCAAATAACTCCTTAAGGCCGTTCATACAATGTTCGATTAAGTGTAGGTCAAAGCTAATCGGCTGATAACAGATTTTATTAGCGGAAAAATACTGCCTGTTCATTGTCCGTTAACTTTAACCGGACATTGTAAGAACGGCTCTTAATCTATAGGCAATGGGGTGGTTAGGTTAGGTTAAGTTAAAATGTTAATTGTTATAAACTTATGAAATGCATATTATTTTATTACTTTTCTTAAATAAATTAGTATGTAAGTATAAATATTTACTTACTTTATCAACAATGGTACTACATTAATTAAATGCATAAATCGCCTCATTTTCTTAATTGCTTAAGACTTTTAACAATAAGTTGATTCTCAAATATTAGATCATGTACTACCTCAACAGAATTACTTTATTTTTCCTATGTATAATGTAGCGTTCAGTCAAATCAGCAATAGCAATAAACTAATTATTTATATTTTATTGTAAATAAAATGATTATACAATATATGTTTAAGTATCTATCCAATGCTGTAAGTTACAGATATCAATATTCATTATAAAGCATAAATATTGAACACATATTTATTGTTTCTCTACTTATAGTTTTTTATACTCCTTCACGAGTTCACGACATCACCCACAGCCGCTGCAAATCTACAATTTTGCATTTTTTGCACGATTGCAAGAAGTAGTTTTACTATTCCTGAATTCGTGATCAGTGATAACTGATAAGTGATAACCATAGACATATTTAAGCAATGTTGTTTATATAATATGTCTATGGTGATAACTGGTAAGTGACAATTTAAATTTGAATTTCAAGATAGATATTTTAATATTTTATACCATAGTCATAAATTTAAACATCGAAATATTTTATAAAGAAATCTATAATATTCTATATTGACACAATATGTAATGCACAGAAGGTGGCCGTCACAAATTACAATGTGGAAAATAATTTTTGTCTGCTCTACATTTTAATCGTGATGGCTGACGGTCGTATAAGAAATTAATATCTATAACTTACACTATTGTAATATATTTATACTGGCCGTAAATCTTAAGTTGACGTACGAAGATTTACTAATGAACCGCGGTAAAAGAGTCCGAAGTCCTAATCCTAAAAATCCTAAAAAGTACTTAACAATATTTAAAATTATAAATTAAAAAAAAAAAATTCTCTGATATTAATTAGGTAGTTAGTATCATGACCAGGGCTCGGGACTTTATGTGCTTAAAATCTTAAAAATATGCGCATACATATGCACCAAAAAATATCAAAATATGCGCTTTAATATGCATTTATTTTTAATTAAAAAATACATAATTATTCAAATTTAATTTTAAAAAAAACATTTCTTGTACATATTACTAAAAATGTATATTTTATACATACTATATTACTAAAAAAAAAAATGTAAAAACTGTTGAATGGGAGGTCTTTGGATTTTTCAACACTCAGCATCTTCTATACCTAGCAATTATAATTTTTATGTATTAAAAAATAATCATTTTATAATTCTAATTATGTACTTACTTGCGTTACACTGGATTATCAAATGTTTTTTTATGTTCTCGACTTTGAAAGACCTTCTATTATTTGTAAGTAAAGTTTTATAGGCGGAAAATGATCTTTCTACGTTTACCGATGTGATGGGAGCATATTTAAAATATGTCAGATCATTAATATCTAAGTCTTCTGGTAAGTCTTTCATGTCAATTAATTCACCGTTAAGAATGTTTTTAATTTTCTTTAGCATAGCAAGACCAACATTTTTCTTCAATACATTATGATTTAAGAGTAAATAATCAAAAGTTATTTTAAAATATGCAATAAAAATCAATAAATATTAAAAATATGCATTTGTAGAAAAAAATTCCAAAATATGCAAACATATGCACAATAAACTTTTAAACTTTAACTCTAAATACCACAACACAAATTTGTATCGGATCAGTTTTATTCTATTTACTTCCCGAACAAATATGCAAATGCATAAAGTCCCGAGCCCTGATTCATGACCATCACATACATAATATTTTATTATGATTTCTCATCTTAATTCAGTATTAATTATTCAGTTAAACTGGGTAGCTTAACTAAAAAAATTCCGGTATATATGTATGTATAACAATAGGTAGATATTTATTAAACGATTCTCCCCCCTGTACTCCACAATGACCCAATAGTTTCAGGTTTGTGACATAACCCACCTCATATTCAACTATTTCAACTGCCCCAGTCTATCACTCCCACGTAACCACCTATTATCTTTTCAACACCTCCAACAACCCTTTCAACACCAAAAATATCATCTCTTGTCAGCAAAAAATAATGATAATATATTATATTTTTTTAACCAACCAGGCTTTTTAATTTAATTTCTTCTAGTATTTTTTTAAATAACTTATATCGTATTACTCATGTTTTGATCTTCCTTGTTAATACTTAACTGTTGAAACTAATTGTAATAACAAAGTTTAAATTTAAAAAAAACTCAGTAGGTAGGTAGGTATTTAAAATAATATATATTTTGAGAATATCTTACCAATATTGGCACCTGCAAGATTAATTTCGTCAGGTAAATCATTGTTACAATTTATATTTATACTAATTGGAAGTTTGATTGTGCATCACACCAACATTTTCCTTTTACCTAATTATATGTATCTACCGGACTTTTCAGTAGTAAACTGTATACCTACCTTTACTAATATGGGAATAATAATTCTAGCCATTGATATTAGCCACATTCTTAGCAGAAAATAAAAATGAACTTGCCTTGGGTAGGAGGTGCAAGTGTGTGACAAAATAAATTTACAGTGGTGGTTGGGAGGCATAAACTAAGATAATATTATAATTTATAAATTTATAACTTATTACGATAATGAATACAATGAAATACAATTATGAATATCTACACTATGAAATAATAGTCATGTATAGAATATATCTCCATCGACTCATCGTGCAATTTAATATTTCTTGTAGGCACTGGTAGCAGGGAGAACTACCGAGTTCTTTTTATCTACATATACGTTAAACTCATAAAACTTACTAATACAGTTACCTATACGTAAGGCGAATTATTATAAGTTATAACATATTAGTAGCACATATTTTCAGGATAAAGGTGGAAGGGGGACTTGCCCTCCACAATATTTAATTAGGTTTTTTTTACTGGCTTTTTGTACAACAATTATAAAAAATAACATTTATACAATAAAATGTTAAGAATTAATTAGGTTTTAGGTGGTAGGTAATATACTAATATTATAGGTATACAAGTCAGTTTGTGTGGTGTATACTGTATGGTACTTATATTGTAAATTATGTAATATTGTATAATTAACTCATAAAGCAATGAATGACATATTTGCCATTTGGTGTTGTAGGTGATTAATGATGGTGGATAAATTGGTATTTGTTCCCTCCCTCAGTCCCTCCCTGTGAATGAAACTTATTTGCACCACTGTCAAATGAACATGTATGTAAATTATTTCTTTCGAACTTCCAAATTGTGTGACAACAATGGTGAACATCGGCGGACCACGTTAGATGTTTAGATGTAAGAACCAACATAATACATCGATTCCCCAGCCCCCACCCATATCATTGTCACATACAATTTTGCAGACCTCGTAGACTAGCTTGTAGTTACGTAATACAATATACGCCACCTATTACAGTATTACTTATTAAACACGGATAATTGATACAATCGAGTTAGGTAATGAAATAAAATAGGGAAGCACCGGCTGTATATTAAAACATTGCATTAATCGGTTATTTGAAACAATTGGAACCATTTCATTGTATTATCTCGTTACGATCGATACTGAAACTCATTGGATCAAACTGATGTGTAATACACATCTGATGTTTTTAATGTCAACTGCAACTAACTACACTGGGATTTTTTAAAATCCTAACCCGAACACAAATAAATACGCACTCTAAAGTGTCAGAGCCATAAGTATATTATACCGTAATTTTTTGTGCATTATTTCTATAATGGACATAGGAAAATATAAGTTTTTCTTTTCACACTTCGAGCGCCTCTAACTATAATATGGTTGTCCTACGACCTATCTACACTTCCATAAGGCTTCCCCCTCACAACTCTTAAAATCACCTGATCTATTTTTGTGTAATTTTCTATTCAGTTTAAACATCTCTTCTACGACCCTCCTAATAAATTACCACCTTTTTCTAGATTTATTTCTATACCAACTACTGTCAATGCTACGGAGTCACCTCTCATCATAAAACAATTGAACCGTCTTAACCTATTCTCCTTGAGTGACCTGAGTGACTCCGGCTAAGTCCCTCATTTTGTCTAGAATTGGGGACTGGGGTCATTCCTATACGGCTATACTACTCGTAAATCCTAATACTTATGGGTATAAGTTATATAATTTGAATTAAATCTACAATGTAGGTATTGTAACTCTAACTAAAAGTTAAAAGCATATAATTTACGATGTATAAAAATAAAGATATTGAAATGTATTTCCATTTTCCTATGTCAATTATAGGCGCAAAAAGTGTTTTAAATTTTAGAGATGGGGTCAGAAGCTCAGGTCTATAGTGGATATTTCAATGTATTAGGTAAGTAGTGAAGTCATAAGTTATACTTTTTTTGGTGGGATGGAGGGCTATGCCTCCTGCCCAGCTACCCCTAATTTGCGTTAATGTATGTCATACTATCAAACAATTATTTACTATGTTTATGCATACAAACAATACGTACACATCATGAAAAATATGAAATATTAAAATATTTTTACAATCTTCTCTCTACTTTAAACTCCAAATCAGTACCAACTGTAAAAATGGTAATCACTTTTATTTTGGAGGCTGGCTTCATTATATAGCAAAATAGCCAATGTACTGTTAAATGTTAATTTTATATTATTTTACTGTAATAATTGTCAAGTTATCAAAATTGTATACTACTGGCTTTTATAATAAAAATAAATATTCTTCTTAAAAGTTAAAATTTTCAACCAGGAAGTGAACCAATCATTAATTAATAAGATGATACACAACTTTTTGGATCGTTTCATTATATAGAAACAATTTCAATAGCAAACCAACATGTCTGAAAAATTATAAAATACAAGTTTCAAGATTCAAGAGATAGACAGCTGACATTGATTTCACAAAATTTAATTTTAAAAAAGTCGTCTTTATAGAGTATATGTTATTGTTTGTATTCTGTAATAATATATTCTATATGAACAATTAAAATAAATGAATATAAACATAATTTTAACAATTTACAGAATTGTTGTAGTTGGTCTTAAAATTATCGTACCAACGTCCAACACAACTCGCGTCTTACACTTACAGTATTGACTTTGTTTTTATAATTATATCTCATATAAAATGTATTTTTCATTATAGTTAATGAATGCATGAACAAAATGTGATTTATACTAGTATAGTTATTATTCAATGACAAGAAAATTTAGAATATTATTTAATACCTACTCAGATTGACAATAATAGATAGATTAATATACGGTTTATAAGTATTTTTTTTTTTTTTATCATTTTATAATTATAATTTAATACATCAAGGTGATGTTTAAATCCTACACGTACAATGAAATAATCTATATTCAAACTTGGAACTAAACAAGATAGTGCAAGTTATAGTTCAATAATATATGACTCCTATACAATTTCAGTTGTTACACAATATAATTGAATATATTGTATTATTGAGTAAGTATTACCTACCCGGTAGCAAATAAATCAGTTTGTTCATTTTTTATACAATTATCAAACAAATGTATCTATTAATGCACATCTTTTAGAACCTAGTATCAAAAATAGCGTTGACACTAAGTAACGTTATAAATGACACTATTAAAAATATGAAATGGGCTGATGCCTGATACATTTATTATTTTTGTAAGAATTTTTTGACTGCATACAGGCAAGTGACTTGACTATATTTTTTGAAAATCTGAATAAAAACATGTTTAAGTCTAAATGCTAGTATGCTATTTTAAATTAAAAACGTACGTCATATTTGCTGCACTAGAATATGATACAAAAAAAACATGGACCAGTATTCAAAAACAGAAACTTACAGTTAGTCCTGGGAACAGACACAAATTTCTACACCCTTTTTGACCACCCAGTAAATGTATTATTATTCTTATAAAAAAACCAATCCATTTTGTTTTATAATTTAGGGATTATTACCTATACTCTATAGCAATGGTCAATAAGAGTTTAATTTTATTTAATAGTAGTAAAATATTTTTTTTAATAACAAAATTCCAATTTTGAATAGCAAAAAAAATACAAGTCATAATCGACATAGTATCACAAACCAAAAGGAAAATATCACAATATATATTTTCAAAATGTTTACAATTCTATGTTAATAATTGCTGACATAGACATTTTTGCTGTCTAAAAATATAATACCAATATACTTCCAATTAATAAGTAAAAAACAATCTGAATTTATCATTATTCATTACCATAATTATTAAAAACTAAATGATTTGAAAAATAAAGCAAATAAAAAATGTGATTTTTTTTACCTTCTTACTTATATGTATATACGAAAAAAAAATTAAGACAATATGACAAATCATAATATAATGATTTTATAGAAATTATATGATCAAACTTTTTATGCATTAAAATATAACAACAAAATATACAATATTAAATTGTTCTTGTGTTGTACTATTACTTTTTTTATAGATTAATGAGTGAAAAAAAATTATAATAATACTGGTAAATAAATGTAAAACCATGGCAACAATCCTATTAAACATGAAATAGTAGGCTATAACTTTTACAGAATAGTTTATATTCTAATCATTAATATATAAATAAATATTATAACATAAAAAAATTAAAAAAAAAAAAACATTGTTCCTAAGTCCATTTTATTTTATTCAATGGCAACATTGGAAGACTTAAAAAAAAGACATATAAATAAAAATTAACAGATGAACACGAAAATAAAAAATAAATTTTTAATAAAGTTATCAGAATTAAAACTTTATTTTCTTTGTACTATAAAAATAATAAAATAGGCGAGTGTATGCCTAATTATGGAGGAGTTTTTAAAATCCAGACTATAATAATTGTTATAATCTATATAAATTTTTAACTTAAAAAAAAAAAACATTAACTTGCAGTTATTATATACATATATAGATATACATATACATATAAAAATACGTTTATGTTGTTCGTCTTCTGTTTGTGGCAATCCCAATATCTTACAGATACGTCGACTCGCCTAGAACCACCGGAAACACAATCACATTTGCATCTACGCCATCAGGTGTATTGTGCTCAAGCGACAGGTTTACGAAAGCCTAAGGGAGAGAATAAAGCGGCCTTCACCAATCATTATTCTAAAAAAAATACTACACAACAATAATCAGGGCTGATAGCGTTTTACTAAAACGTTCAAACAAGAATAAAAATATTATTTATATCAAATTTGATTTTTATATAAAGAAAATGTTCATTTTAAAAATTAAAGTATATACAAGGGAAAATAAAAGTTACAAAATGATACACAAGCGACAATTTGTTCATGTGTATATATATTACACTAATATTTTCCACAAACCTAATGAGACAGGGAGTTAAAGCGATAGCCTAGATGAGAAATATTTTAAAAGAATAATAAAATTATTTTTTCACTAATCCTTAATTTTTTAATGCGCTAATTATGTTTTGAATAAATCACTGACCAGATTCCCATCCATCTTCTTCTTCTTCGGCTGTTGTGCAACTACTTGATTCACTTTCTGATAGTGTTTCACCAACAACTGGTTCGGAAACATCAGTACGTTCAAATAATAAACTAACATGGAAGTCAGCACTAAAAAGTTTATTTTGTTTATCTTTATGGCCGTCCAAATCCCATTTGTTCATGTTTAATGTCAACAGGCGATTATCACTTCCACCCACATGACCATTAGAGTTTGTACTAATACATAAATATTTGAAATCAACCATTATATAACATTTTTCCATAATACTTTAAAGTACTAAACAATTCATGTTACTAAAAAGTATATTGAAAATTCCAAAAAAATATCATATTTAAACACGAAACACTATTATATATTTATGAATTATATAAATATTAAATAAATACATTAAGTAAAACAATTATAAACTTACCGCATTTGATTATTTGGAAATCGAAAGTTAGTTGAGTCATCCATACTATTAGTATGAACAGTTTTATCCTGCTGGCCACAATGTTTATTTTCTCTATTACCATTTTCAGTAACAGCTGGTTCACAAACAAAAAAAGTGTTAAACCAGAAATGAAATAGTTTTTCCTGAAACAAAAAAATTATGCTTAACATAGGTAAAAGCTTTTTAAAATAAAAACAATAATAATTAGAACTAAAATTGATTCATTTACTCTTTTTCCAAACCACTACAATTATTGTGAAATTAAAATATACAAAAATTCAAATGGTACCTTACCCTATGAATCATGGTTAATGATATATGTTTAATCATAGGTATAATAAATAAAAAACATTCTATAATTCTATATCAATTAAAGGCTTGTTCCTGCCTGAAACTCTTATATCTTATGTTATGAAATAATTAAACAAAAGTCACATTTGAATTAAATTAACAATAAAAAGGGTACATAAAGTAAGGAAAAAATGTTTCAGATGGTATTTCAGTAAAATAAAATATTAACTTATAGTTATACGGATGAAAACATGGTATATGGAAAATTAACACGGTTTTAAAACTTTTTGCATTAAACAGTGTTTAACGTTTTCGATTGTCTGTAAAATTTAATAGTAATGCTTACGTCCTTTTGACATACCACCTATATTTTAGTGATATATGTGTGTGTACCTGCATATATCAGAAACAATAAATGTAAATTAATTTTTTTTTAAATTAAGAAATCATTCAAAATGGCCAAACACAGTTTCAGACATGATTAATATAAAAATTAATAAATATATTTAGATATTTTATTTTATTTTAAGAACCTTAATTATTTCAAAAATAATGTTGAAAATGAATAAAAATAGTATATTATATTTCAAGTTGATAAATGTTAAAAAATAATTATATTTTCAATTCATACCTTTTTCTTCATTTTATGTTTATTGTAACACTCTACTTTTACATCTCCAAGGACTTGGGTCATTTGTGTTAAACGAATTGTTACATCAGAAGCATTACGCCTCATATCATGTACATCAGATGAATAAACTTTTCTGATTTTTGAACTATCCCCATTTATCCATTCTGATATTACTAAACGAATACCTAAAAATTGAATTTAATACATTTTAAATAATATTTACAAAATAAATTAATATTACTAAATAGTACTAATGATTAAAACTTACAAGTTTGCCCAGAATTAAAAATATTAGGCACTGGATCTAGTTTTATTTCCTTTACAGTCAATACCACAGGCTTGTAATTTAAATTTTTTTCAACCAACAATGCATAATAGTTGACATATCTCCTTTGACTGGGAATAGTGACACCCTAAAAATAAATACATCAATGTTTATGTATATACATTTAAAAATTAGATTAATTGAAATACATCTTTTGTCAATTATGAAAAGAACACATTTGATGTTACATAATTTAAACTATTTTGTGAATTGATGACATTTTAATCTCTTTAAGTCAATTGAAATTTAAAATCAAATTATTTATAAATAAATAATAATTTTAATCACACAAAATTTAATTGATTAGAGAATATAACATTTAAAATTAAAAATATTTATGAATATATGGGTAATTAATAATTATAATTATATTCATAGTGTTACATTTGTTTCACTTAACTACTGCAATTGTAATTGTTTAAATGTATAAAAAAACTTTTTCATTTACAAGCTAAATATACAATAAGTAATCATATCATACCTTTTTATCAAATGTTCTCTTTTGGCCGTAATAATTGAGAGCT